ATAGTTTTCTGTACCTCACAGGTTATGTTATGGTCTAAACTGGATACCTACAACCAGGAGAGGATAAAATAGATGAATGGGACCGTCTAAGAATCAAATTCCTATGCACACCCAAAAACTTCTCCAGCAGTGTAAAAAAGGAAGCCAGAGACTGGGAAAGAATGTTTGGCAATGCTATGTCTGATAAGGGACTTAAATCTAGAATTTATAGAATACTCTAGCACAACAACAAGATAAAGGAAAACAACCCAATTGCAAAATGGGCACAGGATATGAACAGACACTTTACCAAAGAAGACATTTAGGTGGCAAATAAAAACATGAAGAAATGTTCAAAATCCCTAGCTCTAAGAAATGGAAATCAAAACAACTATGAGATATCATTTGACCCCAGGAAGAATAGCAATATTTAACAGAGCAGCAAACAACAGATGTTGGCGAGGTTGTTGACTAGAACCTTTATTTACTGTTGGTGGGAGTATAAAATGGTGCAACCACTGTGGAAGGTTGTATGGTGCTTTCTCAAAAAGTTGGAAATAGAAATATCATTTGACCCAGCAACTCCACTACTGGGAATATACCCTAGAGAAAGTACAGCTGCCACCCAAGCAGATATATGCACACCCATGTTTATTGCTGCCATGTACACAATACCAAAGAGTTGGAAACAACCCATGTGCCCATCAACAAACGAATGGATAGAGAAGCTGTGATACTTTAATACTATGCTACATTGAAAAACAAAGAACTCATAAAATACACAAAATGGGTGACCACATAGGACATTATGCTGAGTGAAATATCTCAGTCACAAAAATACAAATACTGTATAATGCCACTGTTACAGAGCAGAGCTGATATGGGGGTTGGGGGGAAACTAAGAAAAGAGGGGATGAATAATATACATTGAAACAGATGAGGGAAGAGAACTGTATAAAAGGAACATATGATTAGGTATTACTGGCGTGACAAGAGTCCAGAATAAGAGTTGCATAATAAAGTGGTCATGGGGGCGGGGGGAATTGTATAACAACAAAAAAACCTTTTTTCCAAAGAGAAAAGCTAACTAGGGGAGAGAGAGGACAGGGAGGAAAATGTCTTAACAGTGAATCAGTGGAAATCCAAAAAAGAAAAAGAAATTTGTTCAAATCTGTTAATACCAAATAAAGTATGCATTTTCTTAAAAAAAAAAATCCTCAGGAATTGATGGGGGAGAAGTAAGAGTTGTTAATGATGTGGGGAGCTCTCATAGCATAGTCTGTTTGGAGGTGCGCTGCTAACCCAGAGGCACATAGTTTGAATCCACTAGCAGGAAGGTCATCTATGAGTGAGTTCTTGGTAGTTATATCAGGCAAAAGGAATGAACTGATATGATCCCTAAACTGGAATGCATGGTGAGCATAACTATGTATTCAGTGCAAAGATAGTCTCACTAGCAAGGAGCATAATTAACTTTTGTAAACTATTATTTGAGAAGGAAACAAAGTGTAGAATGAAATACTCTTAATAGTAATTACTTAATGAGAAGATTAAGCCTTTTTTCTTTTAATTTTGTGATAAACCTTTTTCATATATGTCTGGTGACCTATTGGTAAGAAACTGCTACAATCCCAAAGGCTCACAGTTCACATCCATCAGATGTTCCACAGGAGAATGATGGACAGTCTTTTCCCATGCAATTTACTGACTCTGAAAACTCACTGGAGGTCAGCTAAGGGGTCAGTTCTAACTCAGTGGCAAACAACATCGTATGGTAAGGGAGCTGTGGTGGCGTGGCTTAATAGTACAGAATTGTGCTGCCAATACAAAGGTGTGCAGTTCGAATCCACCAGCTTCTCTGCAGGAGACATATGAGCATATAACTTAATTCCCACATGATCTGAAAATCACTGGAAGGTCAGCTGTGGATCGGTTCCATTTCTATAGTGGACAACAACAACAACCTGGGACTAGAAGCAATTAGAACATACATTTTTGTATTTTTTTTAAATACTGGTTTTATATCATCTGAATACTTGAAACATGATTAATAGTTTTTTTATTTATTTTTTTATGATTAATATTTTAGTCATAAGCATTTGGCTTGTTTGGTGGTGGGGTTTGTTTTTTTTTTCTTTTTTGGTGTTTTACTTCCCTTGCAAAAAGGCACCCTCACAGAACAAAACAAGTCACAAGAGTAATTTATAAGTAGAAAAGCACAATATGAGGCAGGGTCTTCATGGAGTAATGACTCAGAACTTTCCCTCTCTAGTTCACTCATTTAGCTGCGTTTGAGTCAAAATTGAATCATAGCTGACCCTCCAGCAGATTTTCAGAAACTGAATCACATAGGAGATTGCCTTTCTCCCTTGGAGTAGCTGGTGAATTCAAACTGCTTGCCTTTGGGTTGACAGCACAAGTTATCCATTAGGCCACCAGAACTCGCCCTTAACTCATGTCGAGCCTAAAGGATGATGAGTTGGATATGAATTGTAAAGGCTTGTTTTTAAACTAGAAGATGATTTAAGAAAACTTAGAAGACATTGAGAATGTACTTTAAATAACCTATGGACTTGACAAGAATCTGCTCATTAACAAAATGAAATCTGGATGTTAATGTGTAAAGCGACAGTGTACTGTTTTCAAAAAAATTAGTTTGTGAGATTGGTGTTTCTTTTGAGAGAGATCTATACTTTTTTGATATTAAAATATATGAATGGGGGTGTGTGTGTGAAGGAAATGGGAAAGATCCATTGTGAAAAACAATGGATATAAGCTTTGTAAATACACCAGTATAATATATATGTGCACGCGCGCGCGCTAGCATACACACACACATACACTTGACTGAAACAATGGTGAAGACATCTTAATGTTCATAACAGTTGAAATAAACGGGTGGCTCTTTTATGTGAACACTTTAAAAAAATTACTGAGCCACTACATGGTTCAAAATCAAGAAGGGGGTCGGTCAGGGATGTGTTTTGTCTCCATACCTTTACAATCTGTATGTAGAACAGATCATTTAAGACACTGGTTTGTACGAGGAGGAATGTGGCATCAAGATTGGTGGAAAACACAACCCTGTTTGCTGAAACTGAGGAGGACCTGAAGCACTTGCTGCAGAAGGTCAAGGACTGCAGCCTCCTATATGGATTGAAGCTCAACATCAAGAAAACAAAGATTCTCACCACTGGGCCAATTGGCAGCATCAGTATGGATGGTGAAGAGATTAAGATAGTTAACAGTTTTAGTTTACTTGGCTCCACAGTCAACACTTGGTAACAGCAGCCAAGAAATCAAGGAATTGCATTGGTAAAGTCAGCTATGAGGGACTTCTCAAGAGTACTGAAGAGCAGCAACGTCAGGCTGGAGACTAAGGTGCGCCTGATCCGGACTATAGTCTTCACAATTACATGCTGTGCTTCGGAGAGTTGGACAGTGACTAGGGATGATAGAGAATTGATGCCTTTGAGCTGTGGTGCTGGAGAAGAGTGTTGAATATACCATGGACTGCTAGAACAAACAGGTTTGTCCTGGAGAGGGTGAAGCCAGAATGCTCCTTGGAGTCAAGGATTCTGAAGCTTCGTCTGACATACTTTGGGCATGTTGCAAGGAGGGACTGGTCCTTGGAGAGGGACATCATGTTTGGCAGAGTGGAGAAAGACCCTTGATGAGATGGATCGATTCTGTGAGTGGAGTGAATGAGTGCGTTTGAGATGGCTAGGTTGGCACAGGATAGAACAGCGTTTAGAGCTCTTATATATATAGGGTCGCTGGGTGTTGCAAGCGACTTGATGGCACATAACAGCAACAAGAAATTGAAAGATTTTGTAACCACCCATAAATAGAACTCTTTAAAGTGCCCTCTGTTAATAAAATATAGATCATTCATTTGCTGGACTTCTGCCTGCTTTATGTTTCTGTTGGGAGGACCACATGAAAAAATAGCCTACAGTCACTTCACCATTTCTTTTCTTTCTAATTTCTTTTAACAGATTTTTCTTAAAATTGGGATGAAAAATAAAAATTTATATACTGTTTAATAATTATTTATACTACAATAGACTGTGAGTTCCATAAAATTATTATTTTATCTGTCTTTCAATGTAGTATAATGTTTGATACATTAAAAGCATTAAACTTGTTTTTAAAATTTGAAAAAAAAAGTTTCTTTTACTGTAAATTTACCAAAGTTTACAGAAAAATTGGATTTTCATTGTTGCGTTTTCCTCTCTCTCCCTCCCTTCCCTCTTAAATTATTTTAAATGATAAAAATAAAAAACTTTGGAAAAATTAAAATTATACCACACTCTTTTGGCCCAGAATGAACCATTATTAATGTCTTATTTTTGTGTATATGTGCACACACACCCCTTTATGGACACAGGGCTGCTGTTGTGCCGTTGCAACCCAACATGGCAGAGTTTTCTAGGCAGTAACCTCACAGGAACAAATCACCAGTGTAGTTGAGTGCTGTATTCCTAATGAAAAGCAGTTTTAACACTCCCCTGAAGAAGAGCCTCAAACCTGATGGAGAGTTACCATAAATTGACAGTGGGGAGATATCTCTCCTGGAGAGGTGGATGGTTTCCAGTCTCTACTTTTCAGTCTACAGTGGAATACGTAATTAACTTAACTGCACCACCAGGGCTCCTTATATGACTGATATATAGTTAAATTGTGTATATTAGTGTGCTCTACTCTCATCCCTCCTGTTCAACTTTTTCTTGATAATTCTTCCATATCTTTACATTTCCTTCACAAACCTGATTTCTAAAGATTCAGCGTCACTTATTTCAGAGATAAGTATTTGAACCATGCTGGCAAACATTCTTTTACAGGGTCAGCTAGCACATATTTTAGGCTTTACAGGCTCCATCGATCTTTGCCATTGAGCATAAAATAGCAATGGCTGTGATGAGCATGGCTGTGTTCCAATATAACTTTTACAGTACAGGATGTAGTTTGTCACTTCTGAAGTTGAAGATTTCCTAAGCTTTCTCTTATTTATCTCATAGAAAAAAAGCGACAGTTTGAAATGAAAAGAAAGATGCACTATAATGAAGGACTGAATATTAAATTAGCTAGACAGTTAATTTCAAAAGACCTACATGATGAAGATGATGAAGATGAAGAAATGCCGGAGACTACAGATGGAGAAAAGATGAACACGGAGGACTCAAATCAAGGTTAGAGATTTTGAAATTTTCACTAGAACTCTTGGGATCCTTGTTGTTTGTTGTTATTAGGTGCTTTTGAGCCAAACATGACTCACAACGGTCCTATGAACAAAAGATCTGAACCCTTTCTATCCTGCACCATCCTACACTTCCCGACACCCAAGAAGAGCCCATTGCAGCAGTCACCGTGTTAGTCCACCTGGTTGAGGGTCTTCCTCTCCTTCACTGATTCTCCACCCTTCCCAACATCATGTCTTTGTCTATGAAATAGCACCTCCTAGCAATAAACCCCAAGTATGTGAGGCAAAGCCTCATCCTTGCCTCCAAAGAGCACTCTGGCCGCACCATCTCCTAGATATAAGTGTCATACAGATTGGGATCATTATGGTCCAGATATTATCCTTCGTTTTTCTTTTACCTTGTGAAACACCTCAGAAATTATTTCTTAGATTAACATTTTTACTATGCACAAATTTCTCCAGAACGTGACCATGGCCATGTTGTGCTGATTTATTTCACTTTTTATCTGGAGTGTTTAAGATCGTTTTGTAATGTTGTTGTTGATTGCCTTCAAGTCGAGCACGACTCATAGCGACCCTATGAACAAAAGGCCTGAAGCCCCTCTGTAACTATGGACACTTATCAAAGCTCATAGAGATTCCAGAGGCATGTTGTTTAGGGAGTGGATGATAGCAATTTGAACTTCAAGTTTTAAACATTTTAAAAACAAATATTTTTAACATGAAATTTATTTCACATAAGGTTCTAAGTAAGTTTTATCTTCCCAGTGGAGATTTCTTTTGATTGTTTCCTGGATAATCTGATTGTTTATTTAGATGAGCTTTTGTTGTTTGTTATTTGTTTAGGGGTTTTTGTTGTTTGTTTTGGTTTTTTTCTTTCCCCAGTCTCTGTAGCCTAGCAACTTTTCATTAGATTCATAGAAAATGGATTTTTTTTCTAATAAATTATTCTGATTTTTTTCTGATAAATTGATTCTGATATTCAATGAAGGTTAATAGTCTGTACCACATTTTGGTGCCCGTTACCCACATTTTGTGCTTCCACAGTTTAATAGGGGATATAACAGTTGTAGTTAGGATGATTAAGTGTTAGGAAAGTAGTTCTTACATCATTTGGTGAACATGGTATAAAATATGAGTGATTCTTTTAGCCTGATGAATCACTTAATGTAATGTCAGGATAGCAGTGTTGTTATTCTCTGTCATGCCTTCTGTTTCATGCAATATTTTTAATTCTACTGTATGTACTATATATTTTGAAACTTCACCTTAAGTAGTTAACTGTTACATAACTTCTCTCTCTTTTTTAAGTCTCTTGTCTATTAAGATGTGCTTACACTTTAATCTTATTTTTCCAGTTTTACTTCTGTCTGGTTTACTACTATGACGCTGTTCAACCATGAATGAATATTACTTTGGAAAATGTTTTCCATCAGATTCTATTTAAACTTTCAATATCAACTTCTAATGACAATAGCACAATACTAGAAATACCCCTAATTTGCCACTGGATAGGAATTTTTCTGGTTTTTGTTTGGTGTTTCCCCAGAGTCATAATTTTTGAAAATAACTGACCTTTGGTCCTTCTTTGCTTGTAAAACATGTTCCATGCATTTTGTTTATAAATGTATTTTAAAAATTTTTTTAAGTATAATACATCAGTTGAGTTTTTACTAGCTCCATGTATGATTTCCACTACCCCTAGTTGGAGATGAAGTATACCTTACATAAGATATATTCTGTTTATCATAATAAAACCCACAAAGATAGGGACCCCTGCGTGATAAGTATTAAAGGACACTTTACTTGTCACTACTCACGTCTGGACCTTTAAAATTTCAAAATCTTACCAGATGAAAGGAATTGCCATCAGTGGCACAAAATAAAAGGTTAAACACTCTTGAATAGAAAACTGATTTGCTCTATTAAACCATCATTCAAATCGCACAGAGAAAATGCTTAGTAGCTTTTTAAATTTCTCAAAACCTTCTTACTTTTTGAGCATTGAAATTCTTCTCTTTCTCATCTCCACCTATTTTAGTCCTTTTTATAAAAAGAAAATTTACTTATTTAGACTCTGAGAAAATATTTTCTCATTTTAAGATAATAAATAGAAATGTTATTGCTTACACATTTGATATTTTACTTAGATAATATAATACTTATAATATTTTATTTAGCTATCTACCTATGATTTATTCTCAACATGTTCAGTCTGAAACATTTGTTCCATCACAAGATGCTTCTGTTCTACTCTTTAGACTACTTAGGGAGCAAATCATTTTTCTCATGTTAACATATATAAGATAGACTTTGTGTTTTAAATCTTTGTATTTATCATTCATGCCAGTTGTAGGAAACTTTAGTTCAGATAGTTATATAGAGTGGACAGTACACAACAAACAAATTATATTGACATTTTTCTTTTGTCTTTGCAGGATCTACTACAACTGACCAGCTGCAAAACAAATCATAGTTCCTTGAAGAGATTGTTCAACACACAACTGTTAGATATCAGCCTTGTTATTATAATACACTGCTGCTTGTTCTCTACAGTTCATGACTTAAGTATTGAAATGCATACCAGTTATATTGCCAAGAATTAAATGGTAACTTTAGAGACTGACTAGAGTGAAAATGCCTAATTGATACATGTATTCTGTGCCTAGTACTTCACCACAAATACAGTGTAATGTCATTAGTCCAGAACATTACTTTTATAAGAACACTGGTTAATTTGTATAAGAATATTCTATAGCTTTTTATGCTTTAGAGGTTAAACTATCTTTTTGGGGGGGTGGGGGACTAATTTATTTTCTTCTAGAAGTGGTTGCTCTTATAAAAAAACTTGTTTTTTTAATTTTCATCACAACCAGTTGGAGTACAGGTTACATAGGTCAGTAGATACTCAGGTTGAAAGGTATTCTAACACTTGTCTTCAACTTGATTTGTCTGTTTAATTGAAAAAGATCTTAAGAGTTATTATTGGTTTTTCTTGGCCTATTACCCTTCAAATTCTTGTTGAGTTTTATGTTTACAAGGAAAGAATTGAACTGTTCATCAAAACTGTCTTTTGTTTCCACAAATAAATCATTGGGTTAAACTTGTACTAAGGTATGCTCCATTCTTTTATACACTAGATGGACAGATTCTAAAATAGCTATCATAGTATTTTCTTAAAATACCTGTCTTTATCTTCTTTCTCTGTCTCCCAACTCTTTTCCACACACATACACACAATTTATTAACTTTATAAAGCAACCTAAAGATTGTCAGTACAGTCCTTTTATCATTTGCTGTGACAGTGAAATTCTTATTTTGTACCATCAATGCCTGCTAGTTTTCTAATATGTAGAGAAAATAGATTGGGTAGCAGCAGTGCTATAGGCAGGAAATACAAATCAACTGAAAGTCTATAGCTCTCCCTGGTTTATAGCTTGCTAATTTAATTGCTGTTATTAGTTTATTGTTCAACCTAATTAGATCTTAGGAAACAACTAACCAAGGTTTTTGCATGAAGAACGAATGTGTGCAACCAGAGATATGCTTACATAATTCCTGAATATGGACAGAAGTAAGCCTCAATATGTTTTAATATAAAAAGATTTTTAAGTAGTCCCTGCCTTAAGGGAAATTGTTAATGAATACTATAACAAATGAGTTTTATTCTTCTAACATATTAAGAATTACTTGAATTTTCATCCTGAAATGAAGTGCAGATATTGTTTACCTTGGTTTAGTGATGGGTTTGTCAATTATTTCTTGTGTATCTTGGTTTAGTGATGGTTTCATTTCTAGTCAATTATTTGTATCTTAATGTTTATTTGTACCAAAATGATCCATTATATGAAAATACTTTTAAAATAATTTATGTATGTTGTATCTATAAAATGATTTTTACTGAACAGCTTATCTTCCACTTAAAAGTTTATGGAAATACCAGTATGTCTAATAAAAAGTGGGAGAATTTTTTGCTAGTAGAAGAATGTGTTAATTACTTCAGGTGTCTTCTTCACCCCATTCCCCCCATACCCACTAATTAGTAAACAAAACAATGTTTATTTAAACTTATACATGTGTGTGTACACTCTCACAGGCCTCTATGTTTTGGGTTTTATTGATTTGAATTCTTATTGTTGTTAGGTGCCATCAAGTTGAGTACAATTTATAGCAACCCTGTGAACAACAGACTCAATCCCCAGACCCAATCCTCATCCTATCCTGTGCCAGCCTGACACACTTGAGCCCTTTGCCACAGTCACTGTGTCAGCCCACCTGGTGGAGGATCTTCCTCTCTAATGCTACCTTTCCACCTTTCTAAGCACAGTGTCACAGCCTCTCCAATGAATAGCCACAATGACCAAAGTACGTAAGATGAAGCCTCATCATCTTTGCCTTCAATGAGCACTCTGGCTGCATTTTCTCTAAGACCTATCTACCTGTTCGTTCTTTTGGTAGTTCTTGGGATATTCAGTGCCCTTCTCCAACACCATAGCTCAAAGGCATCAATTCTTACATCATCATTATTTATTGTACAGCTCTCAGATGCATAGCAAGTGATTGAAAAAAACCTTGGGCTAAATCAAGTGCACCTTAGTCCTCAAACTTACATCATTGCTCAATAATTTGGAGAAGTCCCTGACTTGGCCAGTTGGGTTTCTTTGCTTTTGTTGTTAGGTGCCACTGAGTCACTTGCGACTCATAGCAACCCTATGTACAATAAGCCCTAAACTCGGCTCTGTCCTCTACCAACCTTATTATCTCTGATACACCTACCCCCATGTCCCCAGTCACTGAATCAATCCATCTCATTGAAGGTCTTTCTCTCTTACACTCTCCTTCCACCCTCTCAAGCAGGATGTTCCTCTCACAGGACTGGTCCTTTCTTACAACATGCCCAAAATATGTCAGTTCAAGCTTCAGAATCCTTGCCTCCAAGTAGCATCCTGGTCTCATCTTCACTAGGATGAACTTGTTTGTTCTCCTAGCAGTCCATGATATATTCAGTACTCTTTCTCTAGCACTACAACTCAAAGGCATCAATCAATTCTCCTATCATCTCTAGTCATTGTTCAGCTTTCTGATGCATAGCAAGTAATTGCAAAGACTATAGCCTGGATCAGGTAGACCTTAGTCTCTAGGCTGACATCATTGCTCTTTAATACTCCGGAGAGATCCCTGACAGACTTTCTCAGTGCAGTTTTCTTTTTATTTCCTGGCTGCTGGTACCAAGAATATTGACTGTTGAGCCAAGAAAACTGAAGCTGTTAACAGTCACTTCACTATCATCCTACTGCCAATCTATCACAACTGCCAATCAGCCCAGTGGTGAGAATCTTTATTTTCTTGATGTTGAGCTTAAGACCTATTGAAGGCTGCAGTCCTTGACCTTCTGCAGCAAGTGTTTCAGGTCCTCCTTGGCTTTCAGCAGACAAGGTTGTGTCATCTGCATAACAGTTTATTGATAAGTCTTCCTCTAATACTGATGCCACATTCCTCATTGGAGAGCCCAGCCTCCTGAATAATCTGTTCTGTGAATAGATTTAGAAGGTATGGAGGTAGGACACATCCATGGTGTACATCCTTCCCAATTTTTAACCATGTGTTGTTTTCTTGCTCTGTTTTGACAATTTCCTGGTCTAAGTATAGGTTTTACCTAAGCACAATCTAGTGTTCCAAGCTTCTCATTCTTCTCAGAATTTAGCCACAGTTTGTTGTGATCCACACAATCAAGTGCCTTTTCATAGTCAATGAAACACAGATAGACATCCCTCTGTTACTCTCTGCTTTCAGCCAAGATATATCTAACATCAGCCCTAGTACTACGGCCCCTTTTAAGCCCAGCCTGCACTTCTGGCACTTCTCTGTCGATGTGCTGTTCCAGATTGTTTTGGATAATTTTCAGCAGAATCTTGCTTGCATGTGATATTAATAGTATTGTTCGATAACTTTCATACTCTGTTGGGTAACTTTTCCTTGGAGTGGGAACAAATATGAATCTCTTCCTGTCAGTTGGACAGATGGCTCTCCTCTAGATTTCTTGGCACAACTTGGTAAGCGCATCGAGGGCAGTTGAAATATGTCGATTGAGATGCTGTCAATTCCTGGGGCTTTGTTTTTTGCCAATTCTTTCCAAGCAGCTTGAACTTCCTCCTTCATCACCACTGGCTCTTGCTCATACATTGTTTCATGAAATTCTTCTGTGTCCGCTAATTCCTTTTGGTGCAGTGCCTCATTATACTCTTTCCGTCTTCTTTTAATTTAATGCTTCCTGGATCATTTGATATTCTGCCCAAAGCATCCATTTTTTTTTCTTAGCTTCAGACCTAATATAAGGAAAAATTTGTTGATTTTGGGTGCTATCAAGTTGGTTCTGACATATATTGTTCCTGTGTACAACAGAATGGGATGCTGTCTAGTACAACTTGTTGAAGATTTAATGCTTTTCACTGACTCTGCCATTTTTCTTTGGCCAAATGTTTTGGATTCTAGGAATGAAGCTGGAACTATATTGTCGGAGAGATTACTTTGTTTTGTTGTATTGAATAGTACTATTTTCACCAATTATGATATTCTTTTCTAGGGAAGAAACAGTCATGTGCAGGATGAGGTGAAGTCTTGCCTTCTCACTTCTTAGGAATGTTGTGGCTGTATGTTTTCTTAAGACACACTCATTCATTTCTTCTGACAGCTCATGGCATATTCAGTATTCTTTGCCAACACCATAATTTAAAGATATCAGTCCTTTTTTCGTCTTTATTCATTGTCCAACTTTCTCACACATGAGATGATTGAAATATACCGGAGCTATGGTGGCCTGGTGGTGGGAAGCTGCACTGGAATCCCGAAGGCTCGTGGTTCCAATCCACTAGATGCTCTGCTGGAGAAGGAGGGACTCTCTCCTCCTGTACCAGTTGGATCCAGTTTAACAGTACACACACAAACACACACACACACACACACAAAATAAATTAAAAAAATCTTTTTTAAAAAAAAGAAATATAGAATGGGGTCAGGTACACCTTACTCCTCAAAGTGTCATCTTTGCTCTTTAACATTTTAAATAGCTCTTTTGCAGCACATTTGCCCAATATCTTACATGGTATTGATGAAAAGAAAGGTCCTTACAAAGCTGATTTATGGGGGGTTTTTTTCAGCCTTTCTATTTTATGGATGCTTTTAGCAGTAAGGAACTATGTTGCCAACCCAAATGCTCAGTGTTCAAATCCACCAGCTGTTGCTCAGGAGAAAGATGGACAGTCTCCTTCCATATAATTTCCTACCTCAGAAAACATGCTGGAAGGTCAGATATGAGTCAGTTTCAACACGATGAAACATGACAACATTGATGGTTGTAAGTGGTTCATTCTTCACCAGTGTTAACAGCTTATACACAATTGTTAACCCAACGGTTTACATCAGACTTCCAAATAAATCAAGAGAGCCTACTCTCTAGAATCCAATTGCTTCACACAT